GGGAGGATCCTTCCCCAGACGCGGCGGCCGCCTCCGACTCGTTCGCGTTCGCGTGGTTTATATTCTTCCGGCGAATTCGCGTGATACGGCGTCCAGCGCAGGGCCGCGGAAGATAAGCAACGCAAGATACTTTCGTACGCGAATAATACCGAATATTTCATAATCCCCCCCGCGGGCGCGGCGAAATTAACCCACTCACTGGGAATTGTCCGACAAGGTCTGGAATTCGCCAGAAATATCTGTACCGAAAAATAGGCGTATACAGTAAGCTAGGGCCGTCGCCTGCTTGCCCACGCGTGGCCGCCCCCGACTCGACAACGCGTCAGGTGCGGTTGAGACGCTTCACCAACACTAGGGAGGGGTGGGTGAAGTTTGTGTTATGGTCTGGCTGCAGCGATTTCGTTAGGGAACGTGGCTTGCCTCTATTGCAGTAACATAGATAATATGTGGGGAGGGAGATAGAATCGAAGGGAGTCTGTCTATGCATGCACATAAGGGGATCTGCATTAAAACAGGGAAGCATAGAATGAACAAGAGAACAGAGGAAGGCAAACGTTTCCCTCGGAGAAGGGATATCAAATCCACTTACACTTTGACAACTCTTTTTATGTGAGACAAATACGGATACATATACACCGCGAAATTGCTGTGCAGAGCATATACCGGGTAGGGCACCCACAGATACTCATTTCCATAGATGTCGTCCAATGTCCTGGGACGTCACGGCAAGTAACGAGGACATCCTAGGCGCATGCCATGAGTGCCGTGGCAAAATTTGAGCCCTTGCTTTGGATATGTTCACGAGCCAACAAGCTAGTATAGTTATAGCAGGATGCGAAATTAATGTGAATCCACAGTCAAATACTCCCTGATTTACTGTTGGACTCCCTGATTTGAGATATGCAGGAGACCGTGCGACTCTCTGAAAATTCTGCTATACTAACTAGTTCGTTCCAGAGCACGGCCTCGCGGAATTACCGTATTTTTTCAGCAAATGTCCAAAGAAAATTTGGCAGACGTGCAACCACATGAATCTTCAAAATAAGCACATGCGTTATTTAGTTTGCATCTTTAGTTTTTAACTTCAAACTGGGACTCCTGCATTTTGCTGCGGACTCCCTCTTTTTGAGTGCAGGGAGTCCATCCCTTGTTCATTTCTACCCCTGTTATAGTCTCTAGTTAAACCTGTATAAAGGCCACTCATTATAAGCAGGTGTTTATTCTATGGAGATGTCCGCTCATACAGGTTTGGTTGTATTACTGTTTCTATGTGGCAGGGAGCCTGGAGATGGTGGCACACGGCTTGCTGCTAAGCGTTAACCCAGACAGGATCATCGTGAAGAGGATCTTGCTTAGCGGCCACCCTCTCAAGATCAACCGCAGGTATATCTCTCATGTTCTGACTCGTCGTTAGGCCACAATTAAAAAAATCTTTGTTTGCCCTCACCCGACCCAGGCTGAAAATTTTTGGTAAGTAGGTCGGCTTTTTTTAATGGGTCTTTTTACAAATTCGGCATGGCTTCTACATACTCGGGTGGGCTTGTGTAGGATACTTATGTCTGAATGTTTGGTTGCTGGCTAACCCATGATAATAGCCTACAGATTGATAGTAATGTACACTGATAACGTATTTTAAAGAAATTTTTTGGACTCTCCCTTTTTGGCGGGTCGGTCGCGTCGAGGGCAAACAAACCAATATTTGATATGCTAACTTAGTCTGGCCAGCGAAATAATGCGCTCGCTAAAAATTTACGAGTGCACGTAAGCGCAATGCTAGTTGTACTTGTAGACGATGGCTCGTCCTTGTTCACACCGTGGAACATACTCCCTCATATTCACTGTAACGCGAACACGCACTTGTGGTGTCAACCAGACTGAATTCCAACCTACAGCTTCAGCTAATGCGCAAAATAATTCAGTAGTAATTATATGCCGGAACCGTATCTGGATACGGTATCGTGTATAGTGTCGACATGTCTCGTAAAAACTTATCCTAGACGTGGGTGTTGTGACATCAAGACTGTCTGTGTGCTAAAAATATAGGAATACCAACAAGCTCTTTGAAGAAAATGGTAGAATAGCTCAACAGTACCGTTCGGTTGTTTCAGGTCTGCAACGCTGAGATACATGTTCTTTAATCGGGAGGACATAAACTGGTTTAAACCGGTCGAGCTCCGAACCAAATATGGTCGCCGGGGTCACATCAAGGACGGAATAGGTGAGCTGCAATGAAATAGTACTAGTGCTATTGATATGTCAGACACTGTTTGCTAAATCTACTAATGCGATGGTCTTAAGCTGGGTTTACACTACCAACTTTATGCAGACAAATTGGCGAATTGGACCATCTTCCCAACTATACAACCGACAATCGTCAGTGTAAACGGCTAAACGCAAAATTCACGCGAGCAACTGATTAATAGCAACTAGTTTGGAGATTAGAATATGTTCTATTTTCGTCAACTCGGTGTTGCCGAATTGCGAAATTGGTCCAACTCGCTAATTTGACACCATATTGATAAAGTCTGTTGTGTAAACCCAGCTTTATGCGCTTGTTTGTGTTTGAATGCGTGCATGTGGACGCGTGATTGAAATGTTTGTTGTCTGACAAGTCATCTGTGTTTGTTGCTTGCTGCAGGCACTCACGGCCACATGAAGTGCATCTTTGACAACCAGCTTAAGTCTCAAGACACCGTCATGATGTCTCTCTACAAGCGTGTCTTCCCCAAGTGGACTTACGATCCCAATGTCACCATCCACCAGGTGGAGCCGTCGTCTTCTGTTGCAACGTCGCAGCAAATCTCGCGAAACTCAGAATCGTCGGATTTCTTTGCCTGATGATGTCGTTTTTGTCACAGGATTGATGTTAGATCGTGTCTGATAAATGTAATGCGGTTTTGCTCCCCACGTTGTGTATTAAAACGTGGTGCTAATATGGTCTGTTAGTTGAAGTAACTCACTGTGAGTTTCGCCTCACTGTTGAATTCATCTACAGAAGTTTTTGTTTGAAGGTCATGTGAAGGTGGTAGCATAATGCAAGGTGGAGCTATTTGCGTTTATTTTTGCTTAGTGGACGGTGCTTTTGAAATATGTACGAATGGAAACCTCTGCAGTAGATCGTTCTCATTTTAATAAAACTGATTGTTAAAATTTTGGAAGGAAATGATCACGAGTGTTTACTGTTATGATCGATGTTGTGACTTTTAAAGGGACAGTAGCCTCTAGGATTTTACTGCATACAACTGTACTTACTGTATAACAAATCGTCTATACCCACACGTATTTGTCATCAGATACCTAATTTAATTGTTATAATTAATTACACATCAACACTACGAAATTTGAACGGCGCCATGACACAAAAATTTATTTTGCACGTTACAGACCGAGGGCTAATCACAAAAGGTCAATATATTTGTACCTAAATGCTATTTAACGAAACGATATTCATTTTAGGGCAAATTTATCCATATTATAACTGAAACTAAGCAGCGAATAATGTGCTCGTAAAATTTACGAGTGGCAGTAGCGCAATGTATGTGTAGCTTGTAGAGATGGCTCGGTCCTGTGTTTCACACGTGGAAATACCTCATGAGTTCACTGTTAACCACACGGCATTGTGGTGTCAACCAGTAAGTGAATTCCAAGCCTACACTTCAGTAATGGTGCAAAATAATTCAGAGTAATTATTATCGTGAACGTATCTATACGGTATGTGTATGTAGTGTTCACATGTTCGTAATATTATCCGTAGAGTGGGTGTTGTGACATCAAGACTGTCTGTGTGCTAAAAATATAGGAATACCAACAAGCTCTTTGAAGAAAATGGTAGAATAGCTCAACAGTACCGTTCGGTTGTTTCAGGTCTGCAACGCTGAGATACATGTTCTTTAATCGGGAGGACATAAACTGGTTTAAACCGGTCGAGCTCCGAACCAAATATGGTCGCCGGGGTCACATCAAGGACGGAATAGGTGAGCTGCAATGAAATAGTACTAGTGCTATTGATATGTCAGACACTGTTTGCTAAATCTACTAATGCGATGGTCTTAAGCTGGGTTTACACTACCAACTTTATGCAGACAAATTGGCGAATTGGACCAACTTCCCAACTATACAACCGACAATCGTCAGTGTAAACGGCTAAACGCAAAA